AGAAGAAGAAGTTGACAACAAGAAACAAAATCAGACATAAAGAACTTAAGCTTTTAAGATTAAATTAAACGTCTAAACCATAGATGGGTCTCTTGGAGAGCGATAAAAGAGGGAATGAGATCAGTGGAGCCTATTGGATCCTTCTTTAATGCTTCATTGAAACGTCCCCTCTTCAGGATGGCTCCAGATTAACATATTTGAATGCTAAAAACATTTATTTATAGATTTTCAGTTCCGGCGATGGACTGGCAACCTGTCCACGGTGTACCCCGCCTCTCGTCCATAGACAGCTAGACATAGGCACCAGCACCCAACACGACCCCGCCTGGGATAAGCATGACAGAAAATGGATGGATGGATTTTCAGTTCCACTTCAGCCCAACTCTGCTTAGCAGTGTCAGTTGAAAATATTACAGTCAGACAGGAATAAAGAGAACTTCCAATCAAAAAAACATTCAAATCCTAGAAAACATACAGTAGGTAAATTAGATTAAAGTTGAAAAGGTTAACATAGAAATACAATTAAATCAAAACTACTTTTTACCTTTCTTTTATATTAAACTGTACGGAAGATTCAGGTTAGACATCTGTGTGTCACGAAAGACAAATTCATGTAAGTTTGGATGATTGTCTTTACTTTTGTTGCTTTGTTAATTGCTCTGAAGTTGTTTATCTTGGACTATAACATCTTCTGAATCATATTAGGCTCTATATTGTCTATATTTCTGGAATGGAGAGGTGACGTATTTAAGCACCTGGAGGCCCGTCTCTCAAGTCAATTGCTAAATAGTTAAAACAACAAAAAGCGAGGGGATATGTTTCCGATTCCAATAAATGACTTTGTCCAAAAATCTATTCTGATGATGTTACACAGGCCCACTCACCTTCACAAAATCCATAGCAAAGCAATACACTCCAACAACCCAGTTGAGTTGAATGATTTGCATCTGACTTGAATGTGCTTAGGGGGATGGGCCTCCAGGTGCTTAAAACCATCAACACTCCACCTAGTGTGAGCTGACAGAATTGACAAAGACTCCTGGATAGGTTTAGAAACATTTACACAACATTGAGCCAATCTTGTGTTTCAGCTACTGGCTAATTGACTACTGGCAAATGCTATGCCTCACAATCTCTTAAACAATGTGATTGTCATCATCATTAATTTATTAGTCTTATCAGTCTTTTCCATCCTAATCGTGTTCATTTCAGGTTCCTAACTGTATAATTAGTGTTTAACTCACTTAGTCTGACCTTTGAGTTTTAAATGTGCCTGAGCTAAACATTCTACGTGATGGCTCTCATCTGATTCAAGCCATTGATAAAAGGCCATCAGAGTAAAATTAGCAGGCAGTGAGGCTCTTTGAAGGGATCCAGTGAGTCAGCCAGGAGTGAAAACTCCTTCCTAAATACACAGTAATCCTTCCACATCTCCTGCTGTTCAATAATTCATGTCAGGAGGCTTTAATAATTCATGAGAATAACATGACAAGAGCAAGCGCTGTTCCCTCTGGGGGCAGGGCAGTGAATGAATAAATGAGTGAATGAATGAAAGACTGAGCGCACGCAGTGACAAGACTTGCAATGAAGAGGAGGATCAGCATTTCTGCTGACTACTCTGAGAACATTAGACACCGTTCTGCAGCAACTGACAAGTCTTGAAATTGAGTGATGAATGTTTCAGTCTCACACAGACTTTCTCCAGTTCTACAGCTTTTCACCATAGAATGCATTCAGTCAAAAATAACATCTAGCGATTGCAGGCTTAAAATTTTGTAATCTACAGCATCCCCAGTAAACAAAGTACTGTGGTCCATTTAATGTGTTTCATACGCTTTTACGAAAATCTTGAGTGGCAAAATGCCAAAGCAAAAAATTAGAAAGTCTTTCACTACAATCCAGCAAAGTGTTCCATCTATAATTTTAACATATAGGATCTGCTTGGGTTTCTTTTTATATTCATACAGTTTTTTGGCAGCCTTCTGAACAAGTACATAAAAGCACTGGTGACCAGGTTTCACTGTAAGAGAGATCTAGATGATGACCTATATCAGTCAGAGCTTTTCACTTACAGCAAACTTCTGTTATGTTGTAGAAATGTGATGTATTCTAATGGGAATACCAATTCAGATGGATCAAAATATCCATTATAAATATTTTGATTTTTTTTCCAAAATCTACACAATGTTCCCAGTAACAGCGATCCCTCCTTTATTCTAATTAAGAGAAAACTAATCTGGATTTATAAGCGAGCCAGAATAATTCATATGTAACAAACAACAGAAATGTTTTCCTGACTGATTTGCAATTTCAGTACATTTCAATTAATGAATCATTATTTTCAATTTCCAAAAATGCATTGCTTTTAAGTTGGAAACATCTTACAAGTCCTTCTACGATAGTGGAAAAACATAAATTTCTTCAAGATAAACAATATGTTTCTGTTCACCATGTTTTCTGATCTTTTCTAGCTTCAGAAATGCTACTATGACAGTTTAGTTAGTAAACCTCTCTTTGGTCAGTACAGGAGAGGTTTAATAAAAGTAAATGAAATGCAACACTGAGCTGCACCTCCACATGGAAACAGCTAAGCTCTCCAGTTACCTTTTCAACGTCTCTCTAAAACCACTAACGGGTGGCTGAATTTGTGTAAACTATTAACTCTTCCTTTTACAAAGAGAGATAATGAAACTGTCAAAGTAAAAATTGATTAAATTTCCATCAAAAGCAGGAATTTTGGTTTAGATAATTAAATCCTCTGTATGCATATTTAATTAACACATCCGAATTCATTCTAAGTCTGCAAATAGCTGATAAGGTGTAAAGTCAACCTTACCTCGCCAAATAGTCATATCTGATGGAGTTAAGCACCTTGTTAATTGTTTCAACAGTTGACTGTCTGTATTTAAAGGTTAAACACCTCTAAACATATTGCTTCTTTACTGCTGGCTAAGTAACCTCTCAGTTACCATAGAAACTGAGAAGCCCTGCCCTTTTCCTCCCATTTAAACACACCCGTTAAGAGAACAAGGTGTCAATGATGTCATCCAAGCAGAAAAGGAAATGAGTGAAGGGAGGGGAGGAAAAAGAAGAGCAGGTGGTGTCAGTAGGTTCCTTGGTAAACAGGTGGGAATAAAAAGTTGGCTTTTAATATTTACAAGGATTATAGTGGGCAGGTAATTAATTGTATTTGCTATATAACTGCAATTTTACTAAGTGCAATAATTTAAATGGCAAATGTTGGAAATGTTACATATGACAAGAGTAAGACTTTAATTCCGACCCTTTAGGTGGTGGTAAAGTGGTTTTGTTGCCATACAGAGGGGAAGAGAGAGTTGCAGCTAACGGACAGATCCATCTATGCGAGTAGAAATAAGCACTTTCCCATTCAACAGTAACAGCAAACTCCTGTGACAATGGACTCTGAACAAAAGCAAGGTTTTAAGGTCATGAAAACAATGAAACCCTAATGTAAAACATCGACATGCTTCTGGTAGGTCCAACCAACCAAAATTGGTTGAAAAAAAAATGCTTTTTTTTGTTTTGGCTAAATAATTTAGCCCTAGATCTTAGTAGTCTTCCTTTAGGTCCTGAAACAAGGGGAAGGATAATAGAAAACCACAATTTTCTATAACTTGTGTGTTAGTTTCCTGGAAATCAATTTAATGTAACTAATGTAATTCCTTTTGAATGAGATTATTATATTCCTGGAACTTGAGAGTTACTTTCTATTAACTTACAAGTTAATTTACTGGAAGGTTTACTGTGATCATTGAGCCTGTTATGCTAAAATACCAGAAAATACAATGGATACTCCAAGACCTTTCAGGATACTTCCTAGAAGCATAAATTCATTTTCCAGTTACTCACCACTATCAGATCTGGTTTATGCTTGATGAATTTACATTTTGCCTGGAAAGTTGCAAGCATACAAATTAAGGGACTTATATTAGCCTGCCTTACTTTCATCACACTGAACTCTAATCAATCAAAAGGGGTAATCCCAACAATCAGGGACTCACCTGCAGGCAGGCAGTAAGTGTTGCTGCTTGTGTAACGTTATACCTACTGTGCAAAAGGCTGGGAAATGATGCCAAATGAACCAACTACCAATGTTGATAATGCTACATCCACATGAATGTACATTCACACAAGTCAAATTCTCATGTTTACTCTTATGACAAAACAATGGGTCCTAATAATATCTATGTATGTGTACTTTCTCATAAAAATGATTAAATCTGATTTTAAAGAAATTTTCAGAAAGACTGTACATCTAAAATAGCTGATTTGTTTGTTTTAGTAGGCAGAACGTAAAGGGTGCTAACTTTTACATTTGTCAAACTTACAATTTACTTTTTATGACTTAAATAACTTTTTTCTTCAACTCATTAATAACTTTTTCAAAACTTAAAAAGCACTTTTAAGAGGTTAACATATTACTAATGCAGAGTTTGATAATTACTTATAAACAATTGTTGGGTATCAATAATTGATCAGAACCGGTTCCAACCTTTAAATTCTCCCAGATTGTTTAAATATGTCCTTTTGATTCCTAGATTCTATTCATCGAACGGAAATAAAAACTTATGGTTTAGTAGTTAACAGAAAAGTGCAGCAAATAAACTTTATAGTATTTAGTTGAAATTGAAACATTTGAAAAATAAAAATAGATTGTTCAAAAGAACAATTTTTAACAATGTTTATTTTCTGACAGTGGTTCTTATTGCAAAGAAAGGCCGGGTAGCTCCTGGGACTGTAGCAAGTCGACTTTTCACAAATAAGGTACGTTTGAAATAGTATATTTTGTGTAGGTGAAACAGCATTCACAAATACTTAACATTCTAATATTTAAAATGGTTGTATTGTTCCCTACATGCCAGGTGTCGCATTAGACAAATTATCGCTGCAATGCTAAAATGCATAACCTCTCTGTATTCTAACATTGTGTATCTGTGACAATGGAGATGTCTGGTGAGGAGGAAGGAAGCAGGACTCACCTCTTTTAATATGTTTGAGCTGCCTCTGTGCCTCATCTCGTTCCTCAGTCAGTCTGTTGCACTGCAGAAGCAGACAGCAGGTCACACAATTAGATAGTGTTTCACAAAGAACAGAGCGCACAGGTCACAAATAGAGGCAGATATAGTGTTACACAGACACACTAAGCAATTTAAGCTGTTTACGCTCTATGGTCTTTACGGAAAAAGTGGCTTCATTCACACAATAATGTAAATTTCTCTTGCCAAATAGTAAGCACTCGTTAGTCATGCCACAAAAAATAAAAAAAAAGCTCTAGAAGCATTTAAAAAAGGAACAGGTTCCACCAGTTTTATGGATGGGGTTTAAGATCGAAAAGCTTTTTTTTTTAATCTTTTATTTAATTTAGGATCTTGATAGTGTATTTTGGAGGGACAAAACTGAAGAAAAGCTGTGTGACCAGGGATGTATGAGTTTTTCAAACACTTTGTCATCTCCTGCTTAATCAGGACTTTATCATGGAGCAGCAGTCTCAGCAGAGATTCCCAGACTCCCTTCTCCCTTGAAACTTCCTCAACTTCCCATTATTTAAACCCAAGGCATTCTAGGGCCAGACATAGTCCCTTCAGCGACATGCCTGAATGCCTCTCCAGGCTCAATATAAAAGGGATTGTTCTAATTTATTTATTGTAAGTCAGTCAATCACTTATCAACTGACTTACGATTAATTGAAATGCGGCCATTTTTTATTGGCTTGATGAACATAAAAAAATGTAGTTCTATCACTCATTAACAACCTAGCAGCCTACATATTTATAAAAATAAAATAAAATAGGGACTTAATAGTTTATTAAAATGAAATAACTGAATAAAACATTTGAAACAGTTATAATCCCCCATGAAATGTCAGCTATATGTTAAGGATTCTCTGCCATAATGTGAGACTTTACTTCCCACTATGAGTCTATGAAAATAAAGCCCATTAAAACTGATAACGAATCTGCCTCTGCTGTATGAAGAGATGCTTTAATGACACAACAAAGAGAGGCAAGTGCTTGTATTTACATCCTATCTAAGATTGCCATTGTTTGGTGTCCTTTATCTAGAGCGGGCTGTGGAGATGTGAAAATGGTAGCTTCTTTGGAGTCTAAACTCATTTGAATTATGCTTTACATTGTCAACAATTTTTTTTTTTTTTTTTTTTTTATCGTATTAAAGTCCATCCTATAGATATGGGTTGCATTTCTGTCCTGGGGTCACAGGGTGGAGGGAAAATTCTCTTTCATCCATCCAGACATACAGAGGGGTGGAGCGATTGACAAATAAATGTAAGTTTTAATCCACTACAGGTTATAAGTAAGTAAATCATTCAGCTGGGTAATCATTCTTTTTTTTTTTTTTTGCCCAGAAATTTGAAAAGTCAGTCTGAGTCAGAGAGCTGAGTGCTACCTCCCTTTTTTTCCAAAGGAATTCATATGAAAGCGCCCTTTTCTCTGTAGAACAGACACACAGTAGAACTTTGACTGACCACAGTCGATGGAGGAGTTTCCGTGGCGCTGCTCTGACATCCACATGCTTCATTTGAAATGGTAATGGCAACTCGTAAAGAATTCAGTGACCTCTCGTGCAGCAAAAACAACAATAGTGCAGACAAAGAAAATTGTCCCTCTGGGTGAAAAAATACTCAAGAGACTATCTTGATGTTCACAGCGGACAGAAAATAAGCAAGAGTGTTTCCAAAAAAATCAGACCACTGTGGTGAACCTTATGATCTGAAATCCTAATCTGTGTTTAAGGTTAGATCATAGAGTAAAACCTTGTTTGAACAAAAATATATACATTATCAGTAACTCAATTAGCTCCTATTTGAGGGGTCCACTGTTGGGGAAAAGTCAGGGAATAAACATTACAAAGAACAGATATCTGGAATAAGAGAACCCTAGCAAGTATAATTGGAAAAATAAAATCTATTTGATGGCCTAAATCTTACCAAGAATCTTCTTTAAAAGAGTAATTTCTCTAAATTCTGACTTTTTTTTTGTTAAAACGTCAGTGTGAGGCTTCAGGTTAAACCTGCTGGAAAATCCAGGGAGTGAAAGTAGCTTGATTTTTCTTTGATCGAACAAGGAAAGCCCAGTGCCTTGCTATCGTCATACTGTCTCTATTCAAGTAAAATGGCCAATTTCAACATTCATGGAGTTACCACCAAGTAAGCCATGACAAACTGCTAATGTTGCTAATGCTTCATCAATCTAAACCACCATACACACAAGTTAAATTATCCCGTGTACAATCAAACAAAACAGGGCTATAGAAAAGGGGGTCAGAAAGAGCTCTGTTTTATTTTTTTTCTCCTAAAATTATCAAACAAATTTAAAACAATTTCTGAAAAAATAAATAAATACCAGGCTATTTAAGGGAGTGAGGATCTGGGAAACAAACAACTTAAAAAAAGAAACTTTGCCTTTTATTTTCAAGAGAACATTTAATGACCCATTGATTGTTTAAAAAATAGAAATACTCCAACAGAATCAGGGTTGTATGTATCATCAGTTTGTGGTCGGGTGATGATAAGTCAGCAGTAAGCAAGAAACCAGACCAACAGTAGCAGCTGAAAATAGCTCTAATATCTGAAGCTACAGCCAAATGAGTCAAACAGATCATAAAGAGGTCATTTTTAAGACATCAACCAACACCTGCCCAAAGGGTATTATCTGGTTTCAGTGGTTCTATTTTTTGTTGTTGTTTCTTTAGTCCTCTGATACCCGATCTGAAAACTGGTCATGCTAACCCTTGTAGCAACAACTGCTTTTAGGAGTTCTTTGGAGGACTGATTTCAATTTTATTTAAAGAGTTACTTAAGCCACATTGAGGGCAGACCTGGGTGCACCACAAGGCTGTGTTCTTAGTCCTGGCCTCTACTCTCAATATGCTTTTGCCTGTATTCTTGAGGAATTCTGAAACATTACTGTAAAATTTGCTCATGAAAACCACCTTTCTCTCCCTTACTCATATTAGATGGTAATAGAGATCAGGTTTGCAGACATACAAAATGGTAGGCACTCAATAACCTCTCATTAAAGAGCAAAAAGACAAATGATTGACTTTATTTTCAACAGGAAGATCAGCAGCTGCTCAGAAATGGACCAGGGGGGCAGAGAAGCTTCCTAGCTTCAAATATTATGAACAAACACTTCCAAGGAAGACAACACAGACTGGTAACTTAAGTGTTTCTCTCAAAAAAGCATGACAGAGTCTATTTCGTATTCTTTGGACTCTGTGAATACAAAATAACAATGTTTGTCTAACTTTAAGTCTATACTTCCTGAAAACAGTAATTAAGCTGTATTTCTCAGTGAAAGTACTACCGGTATATTCTTTTTACTTTGGTGAAGTAGAAAACATCCACAAATATCGCATAACAGCATTTTATGGAAGCTGCTCAGGTGCAGACCAATCATCACTCCATAGTGTGCTGGATTTCATCTGCTGAGGACAATATATGTCCATGCTATCACTTATTTACATTACTGCTCCCTGGATCATGCATGAAATGCCCTCAAATGCCACACTACAAGACTGGGAAACAGCTACTTCCCCTTAGTTGTCCATGTTTATCTCACTACTAGGGCTGCAAAATATTAGAAAACATGCAATGTGCAAAAATGTAAGTAATTATCACGATAGTAGTGAGAACTTGGGACATATAAAATAAAAAAATGAACAAGTGTGTATGTCTTTCTGCTATTGGTTGATCGAAACAATGTAAACAGAAAACAAACAGACTATCCATGTCTGAGAAAAAAATGTTTTCATCTCAAGTTTTTACTAAAAAAAGTTGTTCTGGTTGATGTCTGCTGCTCAAATGCTGGAAATTACAAACTTATTGTAGTTTCTTACCCCTTTCTTACCACCAAAATACATTCATATTGCAAAATGAAGAACAAATGATATTAAAAATATCATAGTGGGCCTGACCATATTGCACTTTAATAATTAGTTATCATCTGCTGCAGGCCATCCATGTAATGTTGTGATATATTGTGCAGCCTTATCCACAACCATGTATAAAATGGACAACATAAACATGATGTTGCACTACAATATAAATAGGATTTTTCATCCAATTTTCAGTACCCTACTTTCCCTATCTACATGAGCAATTTAGGTGCAAAAAAAGAATGAGGTGACCTAAAAATCAGTACCAAGTTTAATTTAAAATTTTTACCGTAACCTGTTTAATAATGTCCCTGATCTCCATTAGGGTTTTTAAGTAGAAAAGAGAATAAAAGAGAGATAAACAACAAAATGACTCTGATTATCAGTCAGTTAAAATGTTTTTAAACTAATAGGCTCTATAATATGCTCCTGTTCAGATGTCTGTCTTTCATAGGACAGAACTGCATAAACTCAGGCAGACACTGCAACTATGGATAAAAATCTTCCTCCAGTTAATTCCACTGCGGAAACAATTGGCCCAGTTTTGTCCCAGCTCTATCAGCTTTCCAGCAAACTGTCATCTTAGATTTCCCAGAGGGCCACAATGAGAGCAGCAGGTTCATCGAAATACAGAAAAACCCTGATGCCACCAAGGTAACCATTATATCCTAATAATATAGCTCAAATAAAACAAATCTCTGTTCATTATAACTAATTGGAATTAATTAAGGTGAAGCATCACTTTAATAAGAGACTTATGATATTAATTCCCTCATCTCATCCCAAAGTTACAATCAACAACAATTTTGATAGGTGTGAGATTTCAATTTGATGGGTAAACAGTTAAAACATGAGTATGTGATTAAAGTAATGACTTATTGGACATGAAACAGTATTGTATAAAGATCAATCAGTATTGTATCATACAATATTGATTGACTGGTGTTGAATGTGGGAATAGAAAGATCAACAAGATAAAGCCTGCAGTCTCTACTTGTATAATGAGAACCACCTAAATAAATAAATTCACAAACTGAAACAACATAACTATTGTTAGACCACTTAGACTCATTTAATTGTTTTTACCCAGACTCCAAAGGCTGGGATAGGTAGGTCAACAGTATGACTTATCAGTACAAATGGAAACTCTGATCATGTGGTGGTCAGCTGTACGTGCCCATTTAAGCTGGTTTATGGCAATATATAAACATAAAAACATAAAATGTCACTCCTACTTTAAATTGGCAACACATATTTATTATTTTGCTCATGCTACAGCAGCAAAAAAACAAAAAAATATGTCACATTTATAATGCTAAGCTGGAAAATGTGTACTATGAATATTCAAAGGCATCCTAGAGGAAAGGGAAAGATGCTTGGACCTGGAATTATAGCAAGTGCATGGGGAGTGTGTATGCTTCCCATTCTTGTGTGTTTTAATAATGGTTGTCTGGGGACGAATGCATGTGTGTGACCTCTTTTTGGTCTGCTTCCTGTCCTGGGTGCAGATCTGGGATCCTTATCCATGCTTCTGAATGCCTGCTATTTTCTTATGAAGAAACCTTGTTTGTATAAGGGCATGCACTCATACACACATGAATGGGTATTTAGATTCAGGTACCTAAAGATACTCAATACATAATCGCATTTATAGTTTAATCTCTTTTTTTCTTATTTTACTTAGAGCTCCAGTTGCCACTTAACTAAAAAAGCACTCTGAAAGTCACACTTTGGGGCAAATTTTGCCCCACATTGTAACTTAAACCTA